GGGTAATTTCGATTTTCTTTCATCACTGATCCCAAGTCGCCCCCTTCCGCTATAAATAAAGGGTGTTTTTTTAGAGGTATGGAACTTTAAATTGCAATAAAACAACGATGTATTATTCGATTGACATGAATTTTTTTTATTCGAAAGATAATCTTATGGCATTACATTTTAAATACGACTTCTGGCATAGGACTGCCACGGCTGGCTCGGATGTAGTCCAATCTGGATGTCCAATTTTCGATGACTTTTTCCAACATTTGTGGCCATATATCGGCAATAACACGGCGAATGTTGTCTTCCAAATGGTCAAGCGTTTGTGGCTTATCCGCATAGACCAATGACTTTACATAGCCCCACAGAAAATAGTCTAGCGGTGTTAAATCACAAGATCTTGGAGGCCAATTCACAGGTCCAAAACGTGAAATTAGGCGGTCACCAAACGTGTCTTTCAATAAATCGATTGTGGCACGAGCTGTGGGACATGTTGCGCCTTCTTGTTGGAACCACAGCTCCTGGACATCATGATTGTTCAATTCAGGAATGAAAAAGTTAGTAATCATGGCTCTATACCGATCACCATTGTCTGTAACGTTGTGGCCTTCATCGTTTTTGAAGAAGGATTCCACCAGCCCATAAAGCGCACCAAACAGTCAGTTTTTCTGGATTTAACGGTGTTTCGACATACACTTGTGGATTAGACTTCAAATGCGGCAGTTTTGTTTGTTGACGTAGCCATTCAACCAGAAGTGCGCTTCATCGCTAAACAAAATTCGCTTATAAAAATCGGGAACAACGGCAATTTCGTTTTGGGCGCATTCGACGAATCTACACCTTGCTTGATGATCGTTTGGATGAATTGCCAAACCAAACTGAGAATAAATCACTTGACAGCTGTTAAATCGGTCGCCATCTTGGAAAGTAATGCCAACTTAAACTTCTATACCTGGAAAAAAAACACTCTTTATATTGATGCTGTAAAAAATGAGGCATTGAAAGGTTTGTGCTTAGCGGTTTAGTGAGGAGCAGAATTATATTTTTTAAATACAGCATTTTCATGACAAATTAAACAAGTTGTTGATCCACGTTTGTTTTTTCTACTAAACAGTCAAGATCCCAACCGTCTTGAAATAACAAATGTTCTTTAGATATTTTTCGCTTGGAAGGCGTGAGGGTTAATTAAATATTAGTTTCACCCGTAAAATAGTCGCTATTCTACAGTTATTTGTTAGCACTAACCGTTACAATTACAAAAGAAAAAAAGTTATCCCCCAATTCCTACCAGCACCACAATGATAGCAAAATCGATATATGGGGTTGCTTGATTGATAGAATTTTTCGCTAACTTTTCAATTCATTGTTCTAAAATAATTGAATTTGTTAGTGAAACGGGACATGATCGAGCTGCTCAGAAAGGTCTGGCAGGCCGCAGGTTGAGTATCGCTGAGCTAAAGTGTCGTCCTCGTCACTTGACCGAGGATCAAAATCACGAGGCCTGTTACTAATAGCCTTTATGTTGCTTTATAGTGGGACGTTGATATAATGTCACCCATCCAGTATAATGGTTAGCGACGCTTACTGCTGTGCCGTAGTGCCTGGGTTCGAATCCCGGAGAAAGCATGGATGCTTGTAAATGTATAGTGTCTTTGCGGCATGGGGTTTTCTAAATAGCCGCCGAACCGCACGTTTTCTCGTGGACGGAAAGAAAGGTGGGAAGCCCTTGCCCCCCCCCGGAGTGTTCTCCCTCTAAATTGGGGTGGAACAGAGCTAGAAATCGTACTGTCACCTGTATGATGCTCAAGGCTATGGCCAACGACAGGTGTACATTTACAACTCCAACCTTTCTCAGGTTCTCTGGCGCCACTTTCCTTCCATAGTAACGTTAATATAACTCCCATGTACTCTGTATGTGAATGTGTTTTCAAGGTTAACATAATAATAATAAGAGTAGGAACATAAGATATATAAAGTACTTGACTTTTTCGAAGTTTGAAAACTTTAAACCACAGTACGTAATACAGTTATATTCCAAACTTTTTGAAACGAATCTGGAATAATTTTTTGACTTATGTTGAGCTAGATATATCTTAAGGATTATCAAAGATAGTTTGCTGTTAACTTTTGGAGGAAAAAAAAGCTTTTAGATGCTAACTTTATATGTTTCAAAGAAAATATTTTATCCGTCTGCGTCTCTAAAACCTATTTTTCTCTATATTTAAGATAGTAATCTTCTTCGCTCGTGTTCTCAATTCAATGGAAAACTTTACTCTGTGATTTTTCTTCAAAAAGTTGTAGTCGGAATGTACTTTATTCGAGTAGAAAATTTATTTATCTGTGGGTAATATTTTTTGTACAAGTCATGGACAAGGTAAGTAATATTCAAAAATATGTGTTTTTTCACAATTTCTTCTATTAGTTCTCATACTCTCCCTATATATATTTATATATCTTGTTCAAATTTTCCGTAACCATGACCACTAGGCTAATGGGGCCACAGATTCTTTCGAGAAAATAACTACATAGATAAGGATAGAGAAATAAATATTTTAATCATTACCCCTCCCCTCTCTTTACCCAGCTTGAATCCAAAATGAGAGAGTGAATATTAACGTCGCCCTATTCAGCTACACGAGGGCTTTGGGGGACGTGACTGACACCTCTCCCCTTCTCCTAACTTCCCCACCACATCAACGGGAGGACGTTCGATCCCCGACAGAGCCTCTCAACACGGTGGGTCTTCAGCGGCACTAGGCTCGAATTCACGACACGCCTTCCCTCCTGGCCATGAGTTCGTGACTTTGACCACTAGGCTACCTGAGCTGGACATTTTTTCAAGCGTCCATACCACGCCAATGGCTCATTATTTATTAACGTTGTACTACAACAGTACCCAAGAGCTATTGATGACGGACCTCGTAATTGTGAATCACATGATAAAGACGACTCATGACTTTTAGTTTCTAGGGGCTCTAGGGCTCGAAATCACCCCGGACACGTGTCCGTGATCATCACCAGTAGGCTACCGGGATCGCAGATTCTTTGGAGAAAATGATTAACCGTTTACATGGAAACCCACAAATTGCCAGCGCATTGGGGTTGGGGAGAAAAGCCAACTTTTTACCGGTATTTTTTTTTCAGCCCTCTTACATGAGAATCTGGTGATTGGTTCATAGATTCAAGTGACCATTCAATGGTTTTTGAAAAAAAAAGACCACACACAATAAAAGTTAACTATTATAAACGTCATCCCCATGGCAACCACATCACCAAACGATAGAAGTATTAAGGTAGTTATATTGTAATGTTGTCACCCATCTTGGCGAACATAAACCATAACTTGGCGTGCAGCACTCGTATATCAAATTAGCACCGAAAAGGTCCCGTTTCAAAGCTTTTATTTTACTACGAATTTATGGAACCGTCCGAGCATATCCAATTTTTTTAATTAGACACAATTTTTTTATACACTTTTGAATCCCGGACAGTTCTATAAACTTTTTGTTGTATTTTTTTTATTTCCCCAGATGTTAATTAAGGCTCTTATTTCTTCAGTGAATCAACATGCACAATCAATAACAGCAATATTAAACGAATCTCGGCCGCAATGTATCATGGGAACATTTGAAAACGAACTCGCTTTTCTCCGCATTTACCCTTCTCCAAAGCGGGTACAAAAATCAAACCCACTTTTCTAATCGGTGTACGGGTAAACGGGTAGAGAGGATCAATGCCGGTATTTTGCCAGCAGTTTTCGTGCATGTAAACAGGGCTAATGATAGAATCCACTAGATTAGTCAAATTGCCATTTTTCAAAATTTATCAAGAGAATCGCAAAAACTGATTTCAAAACATACAACTGTTTGAAACAAATTTTCAATTTATCTCCCAATTTATCTCAGGTTTCCATATTTCAATAAAAATACTGTACTTTAATCAAATTTTTTATTTTCTCCATTCAGGGTCAAACTAATAGTACAAAAATAATTCGCCAAATAAATATCATGAATTTTATTATTTGTAAAAAAAGCTTAATTTCTCTGGGATATAAATGCTGTTTGATTAGAAATGAAACGTAGTCGATAACCATGTCTTATATTAGAATAAATCGAACAAAAAAAAAGAAAGTTTCAATGACTTCAAATTATTTTTCTGTCCAAATAATATCTTTTATCCGTATCTCATTAGTTCTCTAACTTTATGAAGGACCAACTTCTTTAAATTTGCTCCATTTGGCGTAATTACTTGCTTCTTTGAAAGGATAGCTAACATTGCCGCTGGCGATGTTGCCATTCCGGAATGAAGAAAAAATCAATACATGAAACATTTCCGAAACAGATCCAATAATTTGGGTCGACTTTCATACAAAAAGAAAAATAATTTCGAAAATAACTCAGGGTTTTACTCGATTTTCAGTAATTAATGTTGTTTATTTAATTTCTTTATCGTGAAAAAAATTCCACGAATTATTTACAAAATATCGGCTTTTGTAGTTGGTTACAAAATAATTATTTGGGTTTGATTCGAGGAATCTTTGTATTTATGTCTCTTAAAAGCTTCAAAATTAAGTATATTTAATCTATAAATAATTTCTTTGTTTAAAAAAATTTAATTAAGATATATTTATTAATAAATTCATAGCTTTCTCTCGAGTACCGAACCATTTGAATTGTATCAATGAGATTTATTTCAGAGAGAGGGTGAGAGAGAGATTTTTAGGCTTTTTTCAAAAAAGATTTTCCAGAGCTTCGCTTTTTCAGTTTTTACTATTAGTTCACTCTATCCCTATATATATATATAATCTTGTGCAAATTTTCAATCGTTAATAAAATATTTTCTGTTCATCCATTCAAGTTCAAATACATTTTTTTAAACTTGAAGTGGATAACACTTGATGCTAATACAGTTTTTTCAAATATTAATACTTTAATTCTATTTAATTAATGAATAAATAGTAACAAAAAGAATAGTCCAACACCATATATAAAAGGAAAATCGTTTGTTGCATACCTGTAGCGCAATAGATGGCGCGTTGGATTTATAATCCAAAGATCGTGCGTTCAAATCCCATCTGGAATGACCTAATTTCTGAGAATGGGATTCCTTTTTTCTCTAAACTATTTTATTAAAATAATTAAATTTAATTAATGAATAAATAATAACAAACAAACAAATAAAAAAGAGTCCAACATCCGATATAGAAAGGAAAATATAAAATTGCAGGGAAAATAGCTTTCTATTTTTTCACTTAATATTGTGATTGTTTCATATGTATATACATATTTATATTAATTGTAACTATTTAATAAAAAGCAACTAAAAATTTTTTTTCTCGTTGTTGTCCTAAGTAGGAATTAATTGACTTTCAATTTTTTTTACATTACTTGTATATAATATATTTTGCTCTTATAAAAAAAAGCACTGAATATTTAAGCTCTAATAATGATATTTTGAGAAATTTTTTTATTTTCATTGTTCGAATTGTTTGAAATTTATATTCAAAAATAAATTAGGAATGGAATTTATCAATAAAAAATGGTACTTTAATTTGAAACATTTTCCCTTGATGTTTTTTATGCTTTTAAAAATATTTCTTCATTGTGAGTTCAGAAGGAAAAATGTCATCAATTGTTTTTTAAAAAAAAATTTAAAAAATTCCGTAAATTTTCTTCCAAAAAGCTTAATTACTTTTTTTCAAAAAGTTCATTTGATAACAGCAATATATAAGTAAGAATATTCGAATTTTTGACATTAGTGATGTTTTACATGACTCCTCTATTTTTAAAATTTCGTAAAAAAATTTTGTTAATGGTGACACATGACAAAAAAAGGTGTTAGTGTCTTAGTAATTTCGCAATACATGACGTAATTTAATTATATATTAAGAGAAGAATTCTAATTTTAAAGCAGTGCTTCTCAAACTTTCAATACTGGCGCCCCCCTTTTCAATCACAATTTTTATCGCGCCCCCTTATACATAATAATTTACTGAATGCAATAATAATGCACTTTTACGATAAAGCAACAATATTTATTATAAACCGTACAAATTCATGACATAAGTATTAAATTTTGTATATGTTACTTTAAGCAAAAAAAAGTTAAGTAATAGGATAATTACTAAGTTATTTTTCCTTTCTCTGATTTTTAAATTGGAACATATTACAAAAGGCGGTGGTTGCTTAGAAGACAAAATATAGATATCAGCTAAATATAGAAAATGAACTCAGAGGGTCAATTTCTTATCTTAAAACTCCTTTCAAAAACTTTGCTCTGTAAGACAAGCCCATGGAAGTAGCTAATAATTATTAAACTTGTTCTTAATTTAGTATTAATTAATTAGTCATAAAATACTCTGTGCACCACTCATACATTAAAAGCAGTGTTTCTCAAACTTTCAATACTGGCGACCCAATTTTCAATCATAATTTTTGTCTCGCCCCCTGTACAACAATAATGTATTTACTGCAATAAAAATGCACTTTGAGAGAGAGACGCTAAAGTTACAATACGATCTTAATTATAAACCGTACAAATTAATACGATAAGTATATTAAATTTTGTGTATATGTAACTTTTAAGTAATATATATTTTAAGAAAATTACTTAAAATACATATTACTTAGAATTATGTTATTTTTCTTTCTCTAATTTTTAAATTGGAACAGATCGCAAAATGATGTATTTAATTAAAGATTTATTTCCTTCAGCATTCATTTCTCAAAGTACAAATGTCATTAGAAAAATAGTCTAGTCAAAATGTCGCTCTCTATCATATCCATCACATCTGGCATTATAGGGTACGTTTGCGTGAGTCTGGGCAACCTATCGGACGTCTGCGCAAAACATGTAAAAATGCTTTTCCTCGTACAATTCCAGTCAGTTTTGGTCGACTCGATACTCCTATAGTTACCGAATCTAGCTTGAATGTACATTTTTTTAATTTCCACGTTAATTGTAATTCACGGTAATTAAGTATTTACGGCAGTAGATTAAAACAATATCATACATACATTTTTAAGTCGTAAGCAAACATTCGACCATAATAAAGAATCAACAAGTACACAGACGAACGAGCATGGTTCCGAAAATTAAATCAAGGCGATCTTCTAAAAAATACTTAAATTTTGGATTTACCACTACTGAAGTAAATGATGAAAAAAAAAAAAAAGCCCCAGCTCGATATGTGTTAAAACTTACAAATCTGTAGAACAACATGTGAAAGTTGTTTTTAAAACATGTAAAATCATTTAGCTATGTTGGCAAAGAATTTTAAAAAGTATTTTCTGGATGAGGACAGCTTGGTAGCAAGTTAGTATTAGGGATCTATTTCAAGATACAGTTTTTTCACATCCAGTGAAAAATTAAAAGGCAATTTTGTAATAAATCGCTCTTTGAATTTGGGGTAGAGGTGGATGAGGAATTATCTGTACTGAAAACAAAAGCACTTCGTATACTATTACCATTTTCAACATCCTACCTTTTTCAAACCGGATTTTCTGCAGTGGATGCCTTGAAGACAAAATATAGATCTCAGCTAAATATAGAAAAATAACTCTTTAAGTGTCAATTTCTGATATTAAACCTTCCTTTGAAAAACTTTCCTCTACAAGACAAGCCCGTGGAAGTCCCTAATAATTATTAAATTTGTTCTTAATTTAGTAATAAGATTGATTGATTGAATATTAACGTCGCACTGTTCAGCCGCACGAGGGCTTTTGACGATGGACCACGTAATTTTGAACCATGGTCAAGTGACGTGGATGACACCTGAGCTGGCACCCCTCTCTCCTAACTACCACACCAACGGGAAAACGTTTCAACTCTCAACAGATTTAACGTGCGTCGCTGCCCTACACGGCGAGTCTTTAGTGGTACTGGGCTCGAACTCGTGACAAGGCAAGCCACGATCCAATACCTATACCACTCGGCTACCGCGGCCAAATTAAGTAATAAGAAATTATTTATAAAATACCTTCTTCAGTACTGATATATCAAACGTATACTGGCTGAAACACCGACTCTTCGCACGAGTTCATTTTTTTAAAAAATAAAACATTATTCTTGATATAATAGCTGAACTGTAAGGAGAGTAAAACTGTGTGCACGACATTGTATACAAAAATGTAAAATATTTTTTTTTAGATAAATGCTATAATTGTAAATAACTGTTTAAAAGAACTGTAATTTTAAACCTCACACAATTAGCATTTAGAATTAATGTTAAATTATGAAAAAGAATATAAAATTCCGATGAAGAATAATTGTGTTACTTTTTAACATTTAAAGCGAGAAGACTTCAAAATGTTTTAACCCGGGAGCAGGCGCGTACTCGATACTAACATTAATGGTAGTGCGGAGGAACTCAGTCACCCCAATCATTTGTTTAGAATTATTTTTACTGTACACGATACAAATCGGAATTCTAGTGAATATTTTAATTTATAGAAAGTATACTTACCTTCTTTTAAGGACTATTCAATTCTTTGATGATTTGAGAAAAAAAACCAATAAAACTGAACTAAAATGATTCAAAAGCACAAGACCATAATAAAGGACGCAAATCAGACACTTTTCAATTATCCTACAGAAATGTTAAACCAATCAATTCTTTTCCAAATATCGCAAAACTCAATTATTTACAATTTCCCTAAGCGAAAAGCAAACGCATAAAAGATGGGAGGGAACTAATATTGATAATATAACCATACCATAAGATTGAAGGTCAATCAAATGATTAGCAAACGTACTATGCAGCCTGGCTGAAAAGTGAATCATGGCTTCCTTTTCTTTTTCTACAACTAATGTACAGTACTTCAATAATAATTACAGTGGTGAATTGTTTATCTTCTTAGAATTTTTCTCAGGGTCTGGGTTTCGTTTTTTCTTTTAACGAGTAATATTTTATGTTAAAACGTAATAAAAAAATCTCTCATTGAGGAAATACAGCAAATAAAACAAAATGTTTTTTTTTCTTTAATTTGGTTTTGGGATCAAAGATAGCTATTTGACGGAAAAAAGCCAGATAATAAACATAAATTATGTCAGTGTTGTTGTGTGTATTTTTTTTTTTATTATGGAAGAAAGCATTTTGTTTTACTTCTCTTTCAGGTTATTTTTTTTAAAAAAAATCTAAATTTTCGATACGCTCGCGCCCCCCCAGGGCGGCGCGCCCCACACTTTGAGAAACACTGTTTTAAAGCGAATGTTTATTCGAAAAAATGAAAAGAAAAAAATAATTGTCTGGCGATAGATAAGGAATTTAATAAATTTGCAGAATGCATCACATTTTTTTCTATGTTAAAAATAAATAGTAAAATCTTATAAATTGTTAGAAATAAAAAAAAATGTGTGATATATATATATATATATATATATATATATAATTCTAATAATTTTAAAGCTTTTCAGATGGGCTTTTTTCCTTCTTAAGAGTTTTCTTTCGGCTAAATTCCTGTGACGTCACAATCCCATGATAAGTGCAATAACGTGTTCCAATTCGATCAACTCATGTGGCTCACTGTCGCCAACTTTTACTTTTGACAGAAATTTCCTTTAAAAAAGAACATATTAAATAACAATAACATACACCTTTGCACATAAAGGAGAAAAGAGACTTACGAACTACCGAAAACTCCAAAATTATTCGATCTACAAACTTGAAATTTGGCCGGCGTGTTTCTTTTTTTTGTTGAATAGAGATCCGCTAAGAACAGATTTTGGGAAAATAGACTTCCAAGGGAAATTGTGAGGGCGTCAAGGATTTTTAAAAATCTCGTTTTAAAAGTATTAGACATTCAGACTTGATATTTGGCAGGCATGTTTCTTTTGTTCAGTAGAGATCCGCTAAAAATAGATTTTGTGGAAATAGACTCTGGGAGATTAAAAAAGCGTTACTTTCAAATAAGAAACTCAATTTCTGCCCTTGTTAAATCAAGAGGTGGGGTTTCTAAGGAAGTTTTTCGATATAATCGAAAACTTAATCCTTTTAAAACTGTGTTTAGTCATATAACATGTGAAATACCCAGCGAAGTCGGCATATAATGTTTAGTGCAGAGGTGGGAAGACTTTTCCAGGGT